AATACCAGATCCCATAACATCATTCTTGACATGACCGGACGTCTACTCGCCCATTTTTTCTTATCGGTAACGATGTTTCTAATATCTATTCGTTTGTCTTTTTATCTTGGATGCGGTCACTGTTGTATCCCGCTGCTGTGATGTATCAACGCATCTCGTGATGGGCGCATGTGTAGGACGAATCTGGCACTGCGGTAAGTCACCTTTTCTAAATACTGGTGGATTGTATGGCATGATTTTCTGTATCTAACTGTACCAATGGGATATTGAATGGCATACAACAAGCAGTGGTATGTTATACTTGTAAAAGAATGAACATGAGAATCACCTGTCTCAAGTTGCATTGGATATGCATACTTTCGCATTTTGCGTAGAAGTGGACTATTGGATAAGCAGGTACTTGTATGCACACAACAACAGGCCTACAAAACAGTCGAGTTGGATACCGTCCTGGGCGATGTGCCTGTGCAGTACCGGGAGGTTCAAGATTACGAGTCGGAAGAATTCTTGGATTTATGGAAACCAGCCATGATTGTGATGTCTGGTGGGGCGGATTCGGGCTTTGAAAAAGTAGAGCCAGTTGATTACCAGCCACGACTCCTGCACATCAAAGGCAAACGCAATAAAATGCGCTGCCAGGCTGTCCCGGTTGAATTGGATAGTCTGAATGATGGTGATGTGTTTATACTAGATAAAGGTCTGGAGATTTTCCAGTGGAATGGAACGAGTGCGGGAATCTTCGAGAAGAGGCGCGCTATGGAGGTGTCGGAGTTCCTGAAGCAGCAGCGACACGGAAAGGCCGAGTTTCAGGTGAGTGTACAGGGTAACGGCTCCTGAATTTTGCGTGTGTGAATAAAGAGTGAGAATCATTGCCCATGTATGTCGGTGTATTGCGCGAGTTTCACTGATTTAGATGGATGCATGCACAGAGTGACGGTTACTGGTATATGCATATGTGTATATATGTTTGTACCTGTATGTGCGCTTACATGTGCGTATGCGATGTACTCCATGAATGACTTATTGCTGAAATGGCTACTCATCACAGCATCGTATATGCTTGTGTAACTTTCCAGTTTATTCGATGGTAATAGGGTTCTGAAACTGTAGGACTATTTGCTTCGAAATTCCAGCTACGCTGTATACTTATCTTCTGGCCATCATAATATTAGCTTTGATACGTCGTTGTTGATGTGAAGTTTCGATATGTACTGATAAATTGGGTTTGCGACCATTTTTGTGCATCACGGAGGGATATACACCATTCATAGTACAAATATAGATACTTGCTCATGTTCACACACGAATCCTTAT